CAGTTGCCTTTCATCATAGAAACACAGAATGGTTTCCATTGGAAGGAACCTCAAATACCACCTCATGCCACCCCCTGCCATGGGCAGGTTCCACTAGACTGGGTTGCTCCAAGCCCTGGACAGCCCCAGGTTCTCCACACAGCCTGTTCCAGTGTCTCACCAACCTCACAGATGTGCACCCCAAGGGACAGCACAGCCCCACAGGCTCCCCGGTGTAGTGACGGGGAACAGGGGAGCTCTGTGGGACTCAGTGCAGGCCCGGGTGAGGAGCGCTCAGTCCCGAAGCACCCCGGTGTCCCTGTGACCCCACACGTACCGTACATGCGCCAGTCAAGGCTCTCGGGCAGGATGATGCTGGCATGGAGCTCACTGGGGAAGGGCAGCCCATTGTTGGGGGTCCCACTGCGACGGCGGCCCCGCAGGGCTGCCAGTTCCTGCGGCGTGCGGTCGGCCAGGTGGTTCAGGGCCAGCGTGTAGGAGAGCGCGGCGCGGTTCCGCGAGTGCACAAACCTGCCAGCGTGGTGGGGACAGCACCAGCTGGCACTGCCACCACCTCCTCGGTGTGAGCAGCACCCCCAGAGGGTCCTCATCTCCCCACCTGTACCTCATGTTGTGCACAAAGATGCTCTGCCTGTGCTCCAGCTCCCGCTCGGAGCTGTAGCGCCGCCCCATCTGCCGCCGGTAGTCGTGGAAAACCCGGTGTGCCCAGGGCCGGTGCTGCCCCACCAGGTCCTCCATGGGGTTTGCCAGCACACGGTGCTCCGCCACGTTCCCCGGCAGCACCCCACACTTGGTCTCTGGGCACCGAAAAGAGGACGCTGTCAGCCCGAGCCCCACAGACGGGAGAGGGGGCCCCTCCCTGGCTCACCATTGACGGGCAGGTTGAAGATGGAGGGGGGGTAGCTGTTGTCGAAGTCAGTGTAGGCGATTTCGTACTTGTCGTAGTGGGAGCCCAGCAAGGTGTTGTACCCCCGCATCTCGTAGTGCACGGGGGCCACCCCACAGCTGGAGTTGGTCACCCACAGGGTGTAGACATTCTTCTTCTGTGCCCAGCGGGTGACGTTCTGCCACACGGCACAGTAGCGGCCCTCGTAGTACTCCTCCCGCAGGAACTGGGGGGGGACACGGCCTCAGCGAGGGGACCCCAACCTCCCCCAGCCCTCCTGCTGCCCATGCAGCCCCTTTGCACAGCCCAGGGCACACACCAGGCCCTCGGGCTGGCTCCGGTGGCTCCGTGGCCGTTAGCACACAGCCGTGTGTGAGATGGAAGTTGGGGCAAGGACATTGGGTGCAACCCAGGGCAGAACCCTCTGTCTGGCTCGGTGGTGCCCTGGGGACACTCCACTGTGCACAGCACTCTGTGCACCCATAGCAGGGGGCCTGGCTGTGCTTTCTCCAAAAACCTGAAAAGATTTTTTTCCTGCGTGTTTCCAACCTCTTGCCACGCAGCACGTGTCCAGCTGAGTGACAACCTGCTGTCCCCACTGCTCTCGTGCTGTGCCTAGCCCTGACGCAGGCTGGGGCCGGCAGGAGCTGAGCTGCTGTGCAGAGACTTGCCCCAAACCATGCCGAAATGCCAGCATTTGTGTGGGATGTGACACGTCCCAACACGACTGCTGGAGCTGGGAAAGCAGCCAGGAGTCCGGCCCCAATCTGGGTGGGGAAGTGACCCTCCCTGCACCCTGGGGTGTGGGGACACGTCCTGGCCAGTCCCAGTGCCCTGCAGCCCTCGGACAGAGAGGAGCATCTCCCAGCACTCCCTCCCACAACCTGCTTTGGGATGCAGGTCAGATCCAGGCCCTGAGCTTCCCACCTTAAAGCCCCTCATGCTGGGGAAGACGCTCTGAGCCGTGACCACATCCTCCTTGGAGCCGGGCAGCTGGAAGCACTTCCTGGTGTTCACCTCCTTCTCAGTCGTCTCTGGCGTGATCTTGTACCTCATCCCATAGGGCTTCACCGCTGCCAGCTGGTAGGTTATCACCTGCCCTGTGCCAGGGAAAGGGAAACTGAGGCACGGGAGTCCTGCTGTGCAGGGTGGGCACAGCTGGAGCAGCTGGGTGCCCAGCTCTTACCTCCATAATACTGGATCCGGCTCTTGTTCCCCGTCAGGTTGTACCAGGCTTCAAAGGGCTCCTCAATCTCAGCGTAGGGCAGCTTAATGACCCCTGCGAGCCCCCGGCACAGGACACAGGTCAGCCCCAAAGCCTCAGCACCCCAACATCCCTCCCTGAGCCCCGCAGAGTCTGCAGACCCACAGCTGACCGAGGCAGTGCGCCCATGGCTCAGGAAGAGACTCAGCTGTGGGAACCTGCCCCAGTCTGCCACTGGGACAGCCTGGTCCTGGTCCCAGCAGTGCTGAACATCCTCTGCTCCCCCCCACGGGGGGCTGCGGGGTCCCATTACCTCGGACATGGTAGATGGAGCCAAAGTGAGGGGGCGGGCGGGAGAGCCCATAGTCCTGTCCTGAAAGGCAGAGAGGGGCAGGGTGAGGTGTCCCCCCCCAGACTGAGATGGGGAGGGGAGGCTGCCAAGCCTGGGCCTTCCCTGCTTGGCCAAAAGAGCTTCCTGAGCTCATCCAAGGCACACCAAGGGACACTGAGGCACCAACACCCTCCCAGGGTCAGCACCATGCCACAGCCTGCCGTGACACTGGAGCAAGCCCTGCACTGTTGCACCCCTGGGGAACCCCAGTTCCTGGGTGACTGCTGAGCTGATGCCACGGTGTCACCCCCAGCACTGCTGGCCCTGGACTTGCATATTTCCAAGGTGGGACCCAGCCAAGCTGTCCCCAACACACAGAGCATGGTTGAGGGATGCCAGGGACCTCAACCTGGCACCAAGCTGCAGATGCCTGGTTCTGCCTGGCATCTCCCAGTGACCTCCCCAGTCTCCCTCCGGGCTCCCAGCTTGTGCAACCCCACGCCAACACAACTGCTGGGAACGAGCCCTTCCCTCCCTCAGCATCTTCCTCCTTGCCAGGAGTGACCGGCAGCACCTGCCGGACCCAGACAGCACCTGCCCAGCCCAGGACAGCGGCGAGCACACCCTCCCCCCAAGCCTCGGGGAGGTGGGGACGAGCAGACCCCCACCAGCACCGCAGGCTGTGCCGTGGGTGGGTACCCACACACGTGAGCCTGACACCCACAGACAGTGTCAGGCTTGGGAGAGCTGCAGCCACCTCCCAGCCCCACTGGGCTTTATGGACACCCAGAAAGGGGGTCCCACGGGGGCATGGTCACCCTGCCACCCCTGTCCCCTCACACTTGGCTGCCCTGCCTGGTGGGTTAAACCCCTTGCATTAAAACCTCAATTTAGTCTTATTTTCACGCCCCCAGCCCCACCAAGCCCTCAAGACACATCTGCCCCCCGCCCTCTTTCCTACCCACCCCAGCTGTGTCTTGGAGGAACTGCGAATTTTGGGGCCCGACAAACAGTAAAACCACTTCCCCAGACTCAAACCTCGCCTGCAATGCAGGGAGATCTGGTGGGGTGCCCCCCATCTCCCTCCCGTGCCCGGGTGTCCCCGGCGAGGGTCAGACTCACCCCGGACGGCGATGCAGAGCGCAGAGGCCACGAGCCAGAGGAGAACTCCCATCCCGGCCGCCCCGGCTCGCCCGGCACCGGCTTCTCTGCTTTAAGCGGAGGCAGCGGCGGCGAAAGCCGGCGGAGCCAGTGCAGAAGCCGGGCCCTCCCCGGAGGAGGGCAGGAACCGGGGCAGGAACCGGCCCCGTGCGCTGCCCGGAGCGGGGACGGGCACCCCGGGGCTCTCGGCGGGGAAAACGTGTCCCGGCAGGGCCCGGAGAGGGAGATGGAGCAACGCCGGGCGCTGCGGGAGATGGGAGGTGCAGGATGAGCCCCAAAGTGCCTCAAGCAGCATTCGGGTGGGTGCACTGCATGGATCTGAGGGACACCCCCCAGGCTTCCTTCCCTCTCAGGATGAGTCAGGAGGTGACAAGTTAAGGAGCAGGTCCCCAGCCCGGTGGGGACCCAGGGCCCCCACCCGCCCTGGCGCACCCCGGGAGAGCACCGAAAGAAACGTGGAAGCCGGAGCCACTGTCACAGAGGAAAGAGGTCACCTCGCGAAGGTTAACTGCAGGGCGAGGAGGAGGAGGAGGAAGACTGTGGAGAGATGGGAAGGATCCCACTCCAGTCCAGCTGTGTGGGAGGACAGTGTGACAGAGCCGGGACAGAGCCAGCTCCAGGAGTGTTCAGAGAGGATGCAGGGGAGCTCAGACAGGGTGCAGGGGGGGGATCACACAGGATGCCTGGGGCTCAGGCAGGGTGCAGGAGCACTCAGACAGGGTCTGGGTGGCTTACCCCAGTCCCAGAGCTCACTGAAGTTTGTGGCTTGGTGTGACCGATGCCAAATCTTGGAGCCATCCCACCAGCAACTTTTACCTTTTATAAGGGGCAGATAAGGGGTCCGATGTCCAGTGGACAATCCACGGACAGGACTGGCTTGAGCCACGTAAGAGCTGCACCCTGTCTTGGGTGGGGTGGTGGGGACACCCACCCAGTGTGGGACGCCCCTGGAACACAGCTCAGAGCTACCTTCCATTACCAGGCACGGTGGGCTGTTCACTGCCCCTCCACGGTTCTGCCCTGCCCCTGAGAGCCTGTGCCCGAGGGACGGGGTGCTGCTGTGTGCGTCCTGTCACCGGACAAATCCCAGCAGGCAGAGCCTGGGAATCCACGCCAGCGTCTCCTTGTCCTGCTGGGGACCAGAGCCCCCCGATGCCTGTTCCCCACTGTAGCAGCTCCACGGGCAGGCTGGGGTCCCCAGCGAGAGCGCCGAAGTGATCCAGGGGGGATCCGGAGGGGGATTCGGGGGGGATCCGTGGGGGATCCAGGGGGGATCCAGAGGGATCCGGGGGGGATCCGGAGGGGGATCCAGCAGCCGGCTGGGCTGGCTGGTACAATGAACCATTGCTGGGAGAGCGGGGAGGAAGGGGGGGCGAGGGGAGGGGAAGCTCTTGCTCGGCTGCCAGAGCCGCCGAAGAGACAGGGGAAGCTCACGGCCGGGCGATCCCGCTCTCCCACGGCAGCGCTGGGCGAAGCGGGGGCTGCCGTGGCTGCCCGGCCGGGGGTCCCGTCAGGAGCCCCGTGGGAGCGGGGGGTCCTTGCCAGCCGGAGCAGGAGGGCTGACGGTAGGAGGTGTGTGCGGTGTGTGCTGCAGGGGGGCGGGGGGCTCACCCTGTAAGAGCGTGGGGTCTCTTAATGCCCTTGCCGTGTTCTGCTGAGAGATGTGGGGGGTGGCTCTGGGTCCCAGGAGGGACGGGCTCTGAGCCGTGGGGACAGAGGGTCCCATGACACTGGTGGGGTCTGTTGGGGAGCCTGCCCTCACTGTGCCCTCACTGCTTCCCTGGGACGTGCCTGAGGGTGGGAGGAGACCCCCGTCCGTCCTCGCCATCCTGGAGGGAAACGGGTCAACAGGGGTCTGCGGTGTGTGTGTGAAGATCTGGGGGCGCCCACCAGCTACAGCTCGCCATCCTGGCGGTGACTGGCGGTGACACCACGTCGGGAGCCGCGCCGTGCCGGACCCGCACGCTGGGGAGGGGACAGGACACGCTGGGAGACCTCACACACCTGTGCCCTCCGTCCCTGCAGGTGCCCGTGGGATGCCAGCCCAGCCAGCGCTCCGGGGCGATGCTGGGGGCTGAGCTCTCCGTGGCTGGGGGAACTGTAGGGGGCTCAGGCCCTGGCCGGAGCGGATGCTCCCCCTGCTCCCTGCAGCTTTGCTTCGTCCCTGATCCTTGGTGTGTCCCAAGGAGGGACAGGAACTCTCTGCTTCCTGCCCTGCACAATTCCCTCCCCACCCCGCTCCTCCCGGGACATTGTATTTGGAGCCCTGGCTGGCTCCCTCCCTCCGCCCCTGCAGCCCCTTGGATCCGGGAATTGCTCTTCTTCCAGCGGAAATCCTGCTTTCCCGGCCAGCGGTGGGGCTGGAAGGCTGGGGAAGGGGGGCTCCCTCTCTACTGAGCATCTTCTGCCAGAGAGGGGTGCAAGAGGACCCCTCTGTCATGGGTCTGGTGGCTGACAGGTGGGCTTGTGGAGATCGCTTCTGGGGCTTGGCAAGTCCTTCATTTTCCATCCCAGGGAATAGCCCTGCTTGTGGGCATGCAGGGGATGGGGTGTCATCCCTCCTTGTTCTGGAGGAACCTGCTCCCACTGGGAGCCGCAGGGGACTCACCAGGCACTGGGTGACCTGGGAGGACTGAGCTCCATCCCCAGGTATCCTCTGGGTGGAGTTGGGGCTGGGGGCAGCAGGGAAGGGGCAGGGACACGCCACCATCTGCTACAGAGCTGGAACAAGGAGCAGATGGGGGAGGCAGATGTGGCCTCTTGTCCCCTCCCCAGGTCTGTGGAGTCCTGGACATGGGATGGGAACCCAGCTCCAGGTCCTGTGTCCTGATGAGCCACCTTTTCCTTCTGCACTGCAGCTACCTCTTGCCTAAGGTTTCCTGCTGGTACAAGGGATCTCCAGAGCCACAGGGTGACAGAGGAAACTCGGTGGCACCAGGCTGGGCTGTGCAGCCCTCTCGGTTCCTCTTCCCAGGGAGCGAGAGCAAAGCAGAATGACAGTGCAGGACAAGGCATGGGGGGATTCGGGATAGCCAGGGGGCTGCAGCCCTGCTGTCATCCCTGCCTGACCCTCCCAGCTGCCACCATCCCCAGGGCTCGAGGTCCTGCCAGTCCTGTGACCTCTTGGTGGCCACAGCACCATCCTCTTCCTTCCCCCCCTACCCCACACCGTGCTCCTGCTGCTTCCTCTTCCCACTGCATAGCTGCTGTGTGAGTTCCTCTGGCAGCTACCTCCTGCCCAGGGGGTTTGTGGCCACCTCAGCCTGGCAAACGCCACCGTGGCTTGTCTCCACGGCATGGAGCGTGACAGTCCCAGCACCCCCGTACTGCTCCATGTGGCTGCATCCGCCCAGAGCCCGAGGTCTCCACTGCTGTTCTTCCCATCAGGGGGGTGGAGGCAGGCCACGGAGGTGACCCCAGGGGTACCCCGGCCCTGCAGGTGACACGTGGGGTGACAGTTGGGTGTGCAAGGGGTATTGTGCCCTGTCTAGGAGCTGGGGGTGGGGCTGAGCTGCCCCATGTCCCAGGGGCCTGGGGAGCAGATGGATGGGCAGTCAGGGATGTGCCCGGCGGGACAGGGGTGATCAATTGGCTGGGTCTCAGTGCCGGGCGGGACCTGGCAGCTCGGCCGGGACTGGTGCCGGGGGAACCAAGGCGGGAAGGGCTCAGTTGCCATCTGCTCCCCGGCTCCAAGCAAGCTCCTTTTTGGGAAAGCTGGAGCCAGACACCACCGAGCAACCGGCAGCCACGGCAGCAGCTGCGTCCCCTTCCCATGGACAGCGCGAGGGGATGGCTCTGGGCCACCCTGGGGTGAGCTCAGGGGGCTCTTGGATGCGCAGGGAAAGGGAGGCCTGGGTGCAATGCTGCTGCACAGCACCTGAAGCCTTGATGCTGCGATGCTGGGGGGTTGCACTTGCCTGGAAGATGCTCCTTGCCATCCCCATCCCTGCCGGCAGCCGTGGCAGCTCCACTGCTTGGTCAGCACTGAAATTCAGCAAAATGGGAAGTTTCTAAATGTGGTGGGTGGGTGATTCCCACCCAGGGGAAACAGGATTTGTGAGAGCCAGGGTTGTTCATTAGTTTAAATAGCCACTAATTATCATCAGGAATAAAATCCCCAAGCAGCCGAGTTTCCTCAGATTTGGCAATGCTGCCCTGTCAGCAACGGCTGTGGCCTTGCCACACTACCAGTGTGGAAAACAGAGACGGAAGGGGAGAGCTGGGCTCTTTCCAACCCTACTGAGTGTGAGGAAAGGGAATCAATGACTGGGAAAACCCGCCTGAAACATCTCATCCACCCCAAAACCTTTGTCTCCTCCTGCTCAGTGGAGTGCAGAGGACAGCACACCTTCCTGCTCCTTGCCTCTGCTCTCAGCTGGAGACAGAGTGACCTTCAGCACGCTGCAGACTGGAGTGCTCTGCCCAGTGCAGACTGGGCAGACTGGTGTGGGTGGGTGCCCGGCAGCTAGGACAAAGGGCTGGGGATGGATGTCTCCTTACAGCCGTGACAGGAGAGAGGAGAGATCCCATTTCCTCCTCCTCTGTGACACCTTCTCACCACATGCGGCTGGAAGAGCCTGTCCTGACCACAGCGATGTGAGCAGGGACCTTTCTCCCCAGAACACCCACGAGGGTGTGGGGATGGGGGCGCTTTGGGGGCTCCTTCCCACTGGCTCTGGCTCCCCTTCAGCCTCAGGGATGCAGATGCCCTGAAAGGACGAGAGCGGTGTGGTGAGGACACAGTGAGAAAAAACCACACTTGAGGATGTGGCTTCAGCCTGCACCGGGCTGCCGCAGCCCTCGGAGGAATGTTACAGCTTTGTGGGGGTGTTGCAGATCACGCAGATCATGTTAGCTCACGCAGGGGGGTTGCAGCCTTTGACAGGATGTTGTAGCCCATGCAGGGGTGTTCTGGCTCCTGCAGGGGTATTACAGCCTGTGCACGGGTGCTTCGGTCTGTGCAGGGCTGTTGTAACTCCTGCAGGGATGTTACAGCCGACGCAAGTGGTGTTGCAGTCCAAGTCATTGGTGTTGCAGCCCGTGTAGAGGTGTTATAGCCCATGGCAGGGGTGTTACATCCTCTTATGGGGTGTTTCAATCTATTCAGGGGTATTTTATCCCTTGGCAGAAGTGTTTCAGCATGTGCAGGGGTGTTTCAGCCCTGGAAGGGGTATTGCGGTCCATGCAGAGGTGTTGCAGCCTGTACAGGGTTATTTTATCCCATGGAGGGGTGTTCCAGCCCATGGCAAGGGTGTTTCCCCCCCACCTGATGCCCTCCCTGGTGTCCACAGGTGACTCCTCTCCTCCCTGAAGTGACATGGAGCAGCTGAAGTGACCTGAGGAGCCGTCGCAGTGAGTGGAGTCGCCGTGGAGCACCCACGGGTGCCAGGGGGACGTGGGGTCCCCTGGGCAGCGCAGCCCTCTTTGCAGCGGTGCCTCTGGCGGCGCCCATGGGGACCCCAGTGCCCCCCTGGTGTCCAGTACGCCAAGCTGGGGGGTGGCAGAGCCCCCCGGGGCCGGCGGGGTGCACCCAGCACCCGCAGCCATGGGTGCGCACCCCGCGCCCTGCCGGGCTCACGGACCCTCTGTCCCACAGGCGGTGCCCGGGATGGGCTGTGTGCCCTGCAAAGAGAAGGGGGCTGGCAAAGGGCAGGCAGGGGGAGAGGGAGGCTCCCTCCAGCCCCCTGCCTCCCAGTACGACCCCGACCCCACGCAGCCAGGGGCCGCCTTCACCCGCATCCCCGACTTCAACAACTTCCAGGGGCCAGCGGTGCCCCTGGCCCCGTCCTTTGCGGAGCCGGGGGGCTTCACCTCCAACGTGCTGCAAACGCGGAGCGGGGGCATCACAGGTCAGCGGGGTGACCGGATGATGGGGAGAGGTGTCCACCTGCACCCCTGGACTCTGGGGTCACCGTGGTCCCCTCCGTGCCACAGGCGGGGGGGTGACGCTCTTCATCGCCCTGTACGACTATGAGGCCAGGACGGAGGATGACTTGTCATTCCAGAAAGGGGAGAAATTCCACATCGTCAACAACACGTGAGCGCCCCCGGGCCTCCTGCCACCCCCAGCACCCACATGCCACCTGCGGGGGTGCGTTTGTGCCCTGGGTCCCCCCGCAGGACCCAGGCTGGGGACCCGAGCTCCGCCTGGGCTGCCCCGCTCGGCTCCAGGGTCCGGTGTCACGAGTGGAGCGGTCTCAGCGGCTGGGGCAGAGCGGGTCTGGCCGTGCTGTGGCCAGGGTGAGGAGTCTGTCTGTCTGTCCCTCCTCCTCCATGTTCTGTTTCCCTGCCCAGGGAGGGGGACTGGTGGGAGGCCAGGTCACTGAGCTCGGGTGCCACGGGCTACATCCCCAGCAACTACGTGGCCCCTGTGGACTCCATCCAGGCAGAAGAGTGAGTAGCGAGGGAAAAGGGATGGAGACAAACCCCAGCCCCACCTGCCTCAGGCTCAGATGTCCCTGCGAGCCCCGGCAGTGCCACAGTGCTGGCATGGGGCTTCCGTGGTCCCCTCGGTGGTGCCTTCCTGGCACTGAGCCCATCACCGTGGCAGGTGGTACTTTGGGAAGATCGGGCGCAAAGACGCAGAGCGGCAGCTCCTGTGCCACACCAACTGCAGAGGCACCTTCCTCATTCGGGAGAGTGAGACAACCAAAGGTACGGGGACAGGGGTGGGGACACCAGGGGCTGTGCCCCACATCCCTCCCTGACCAGTATCCCCACGTAGGTGCCTACTCCCTCTCCATCCGGGACTGGGATGAGGCCAAGGGAGACCACGTGAAGCACTATAAGATCCGGAAACTGGATAGCGGGGGGTACTACATCACCACCCGTGCCCAGTTCAACACCGTCCAGCAGCTGGTCCAGCACTATATAGGTAGGGTGGGGTGAGGGGCACAAAGGGGGGGCAATAAGAGCAGTAGGGAAAGCTCAGAAGATCCTTTGGTAAGAGACTGGGCTGACGGGGTTGCACTGGGGAAGGAGGGGGCTGTTCTGTTGGTGGCATTAAGGGACTCCCTGGGAGCCTCCCCTTTGCCATGCCCAGGTTGCAGGGAGTTCCCGTTGTCTGCAGGGTGGGCATCACCCACTCCCTGGGTGTAGCTGGAGGGACTGGGGGTCCAGCCCAGCCGAGGGGGTGTGGAGCTGTCCTTGGGGCAGGTGGAGGGGGATGCATTTGTATGTTGGGGGTGGCTGGGTGATACAGGAGCCTTGGTGATGTCTGGGATGGTGGGAGGGGAGCAAGGGGCTGGTGGGGGTCCGTGCCCACACTGACTCCTGTCCCCCTGCAGAGCGGGCAGCTGGGCTGTGCTGCCGCCTGGCCGTGCCGTGCCACAAGGGAACCCCCAAACTGGCCGACCTCTCAGTCAAAACCAAAGATGTGTGGGAGATCCCCCGTGAATCCCTCCAGCTCCTCAAGAAGCTGGGAAATGGGCAGTTCGGGGAAGTCTGGATGGGTAGGGCCTGGTGGGCAAGCCAGGGCAAGAGGCAGGGGAGACGTGGGGGTACCCCCAGGCCTGGCACCCCACCGGGAAAAGCTCATGCCCGCCAGGACAGGCTGAGTGACTCCGATTTGCTGGCATGAGGAATTATCTTGTGTCCTGCTCTGGGCTCTCAACGGGTACCCCAAGATGCCCCATGTCACCTCTGCACGGGCAAGCAGACCCCTGCTGCAGATGGGACCATAAGACCAGGCCAGGGGGTCCCACCTTCGTCATCCTCTTCCTCTGTCATCCCCTGCTTCCTCTACTCATGCATGCTGCCTTCATCCCATCACATCCCCTTCCTCCTCCTCCCTGCCTGCCCCCCATGCCCCGCAGAGTACAACGACGGGTTGTGCCATCTGCTCACCCACCCGTGCCCTGCTGTGAAGCCACAGACCCTGGGATTAGCTAAGGACGCCTGGGAGATAGCACGGGAATCCATCACCCTCGACGGGAAACTTGGCATGGGATGTTTCGGAGCCGTGTGGATGGGTAAGGCTGGCCCGGCCAGCCGGGGTGGGGGAGCACAGGGGGCAGGAGAAGCCTTGTTCTGTCCTGGCAGGGAACATCACAGGGTGCCAGGTGGTACCCACTTGTGTGGGGGAAATGGGAACTTGGCACAGAATCCTTGAAGGCTTTGGGAATGGGGTGAGGTTGGTCGGGGTAAGGGGAACTCGTTCTTCTGGGTGGGGGATGCAGTGGGATCACAATGCCCACCAAGAGATCCCTTCCTTGCCCTGCCCTGATTCCTTGCCCATCCATCCATCCATCCATCCATCCATCCATCCATCCATCCACACAAGCATGCACCCCCACACCCCTCCATCCACACACCCCTCTATCCTGGGCTGGCTGTCCCCTGGGCTCGTGGTGACTCTGTGTCCCCAACCCAGGCACATGGAATGGCACCACGAAGGTGGCGGTGAAGACGCTGAAGCCAGGGACCATGTCCCCTGAGGCTTTCCTGGAGGAGGCTCAGATCATGAAGCGCTTGCGGCACGACAAGCTGGTGCAGCTCTACGCTGTGGTGTCGGAGGAGCCCATCTACATTGTCACCGAGTTCATGAGCCAGGGTGAGCGGGGACATCTGCTTGGGCACGGTGCCAGGGCAGGGGGGCTCACAGGGGAGGGCAGCCTTGGGTTTTGGGGGTTTTTAATGGAGACTCCTTCTGCCTGCAGGGAGCTTGTTGGATTTCCTGAAGGATGGGGACGGTCGCTACCTGAAGCTGCCCCAGCTGGTGGACATGGCTGCCCAGGTACTGGGGGGCTGGTGCGGGGTGGGGGTGCAGCCCCAGGGGTGTGCTGGGGGGTCACCACTGCTTCATCCCCCCAAGATTGCGGCGGGCATGGCGTACATTGAGCGGATGAACTACATCCACCGGGATCTCCGTGCTGCCAACATCCTGGTGGGGGACAACCTCGTGTGCAAGATCGCTGACTTCGGCCTCGCTCGCCTCATCGAGGACGATGAGTACACGGCGCGGCAGGGTGGGGACTCCTGCTCTCTGTCCTCCCTCTTGTGTCCCGGAGCCTGGAGATGGTCATCCCCGGGGCTGAGTGACCTGGGCAATGGATGCCCCAAATTTATGGGTGTTTTAGGTGATGGATACCTTGGATCACCCCAGGGTATGGGTGTCCCAGAGGACAGGTGCCCCAGGGCATGGCTACTCTGACTGATGGATGCCCCAAGTGATGGGTGCCCCAGGTGCAGCATACCCCAGTGCAGAGTGCCTTGGGTGCTGGGTGTCCCCTGTGTGAGGTGCCCCAGGCAGAGGGTTTATGGGTGCTGGGTGTCCCCAGTGTAGGGTGCCCCCCTTTCAGGCACCCCGGGTTCAGGACACCCCCAGTACAGGGCACTTCAGGTGACAGTGCCTCTGGTGCGGGGTGTCCCCAGATAGGGGTGTCCCAGGTGTGGGGTGTCCCCAGATAGGGGTGTCCCAGGTGTGGGGTGTCCCCAGATAGGGGTGTCCCAGGTGTGGGGTACCCTAGGTGTAGGTGCAGCCCCAGCCCTGGCTCACCTGTCTCCCCTTGCAGGTGCCAAGTTCCCCATCAAGTGGACGGCTCCGGAGGCTGCGCTTTTTGGGAGGTTCACCATCAAGTCTGACGTCTGGTCCTTTGGCATCCTCCTGACTGAGCTGGTGACCAAAGGCCGGGTGCCCTACCCAGGTATGGCCCACTGGGGCAGGGGCACCCCTGGAGTGGGCTGGGCAAGGCACAGAGAGGGGCTGAGCCTCCCTCGCTTGTCCCATGCCTCAGTTTCCCCATCAGAGAGACCAATGCTAAACTGGGCTCTTACCCAAACCACAGGGTAATGCCACTGTGTGCCTCAGTTTCCCTTGTGGCCGGCCCATGGGGGTGCTGTCACTGAGCGGGGGGTTGTCCTTGTCACACAGGGATGAACAATCGAGAGGTGCTGGAGCAGGTGGAGCGGGGGTACCGCATGCAGTGCCCGGGGAGCTGCCCCCCGTCCCTGCATGAGGTGATGGTGCAATGCTGGAAGAGGGAACCCGAGGAACGCCCCACCTTTGAGTACCTCCAGTCCTTCCTCGAGGATTATTTCACTGCCACCGAGCCCCAGTACCAGCCCGGGGACAACCAGTGACCCATGCTGGCACCCTCAGGAAGCTCCGGGGTGGCTTTGGGGTGAATCTCCTTTTTTCTTTAGAGGTCGTTGCTTCCTTTGGCTGTGCCCCCCCAAATGCCTTTGCATTGCAGTGCTCAGGGTGCCCAGGGAGGACACAGAGCTTTGCACAAGGATGTTGGACTCAGAGAGGAGACAAACTGTGTGCCCCAGCCCCCCCTTACCCCACTCTCTTTATTGTCTTCACACCCAGCTTTGACTGCAGGGGGGACTGTGGGGAACCCCCATGAGCCCTCCAGACACCCCCAGACCCACAGCAGCAGAGGGCTTGGGGGGAGCTCCCCATGCCAGCCCCAATCTCTTCTGGGAGCACAGCTGGGTGGGTTTCAGCCCCCCAAAAACCTGGCACTGACCTGTGGGAGGTCATCTCAACCCTCCCTCCCGTTATATCTCCTTTAATTTATAAGATTTTATATGTCTCCACCAAGCAGCCCCTACCAAGGGATCCCAGTATTTGGGGGACCCCTTTGTCCCCTGCCTCACCTCCTCTGCTTTACAGCACAGCCAGGTCCTGAAAGCCATACAGACACCTCTGCTTGTGCTGGGGGACAGGGGGCCATAAGGACCTGGGGGGACCCTGGCAGGGGGACAGCTCTGCCCCAGGGGCTGTTCCCTCCTGCCCTGCGGGGGCAGGACGAGGGTACGGGATGGGGTCACCCCACAGCACGTGGGGAGGTCATGGCTCAATGCTCTGCACCGGGAATTAAGGAGGCCTGGGGGTGTCAGTGTGAATGTAAGGGCTTCAGAGGGTGCCACCCTGCCTGCTGCCTCTCCAGGCACTCCCATTCTTGAGTGGGGTCCCAGCCCTGTGCCCCACAGCCAGTAACCCTCCCACACCCCTAGGGCAGGGCTGTGGGCAGACAGTGCCATGGGGGGGGAGGGAAGGGCAGGGGAGGGATTTGTTGTTGTTGCTTTTTTTTTATGAAGTCTGTAAATACAGAGAAATAAAACCTTTCTAACAAACTGGGGGCAGCCCAGGTCCTTCTGCCCCTGCTCTGCCCCAAGAGAGACTGAGGGGTGGTTAGAGCTGCAGGGACAGCACTGGGTTAGAGGATTTGGGGTGGGAACACCCATCCCCTTGGGGGGGCTTCCAACTTCAGCCAAGCCAGGACTGAGTGATGCCCCCTCACCCCCTCCAGCCCCAGGGCACAGGTTTGGGGTCCCTCCTCCAGGGGGGTGAGCACAGAAAGTTCCCCTGCCCCCAAGGCCATGTGGGGAGGGGACACAGCAACTTCCCTTGCGAATAAAAGCCTGGAAACGCTGGGTCGGAAAGCATTTGGGTTTGCAAAGCTGCCCCCATGCAGAGCACCCCACAGCCCCCCAGCACTCCCCAAGAGGGGACTGTCGCTTCCTGCCAGCTCTGACAGGGACGGGGCCCAGGCTGTGCTTGCAGGTTGGGGAGGAAGAGGTTAATTTTCCTTGTAGCTCGGCCTCCCCAGCAGGGCCCAGCTGTGCCGGTAATGAATTCCTCAGCACTGATGGGAAGGAGGGACTGGCCCCCACCCCAGCCAGTGGGGGTCAGGCTATGGGGAAAATGCATATGGGGAGGGGGACAGAGGGCAGTGGGTCTGGGGACATACCAGGGACTTAGGGAATATGCTGAGGTGGTTGGGGACATACCAGGAGGCTTGGGAACACGCCACCATCCCTGGGTACCACCAGGCATCTCTACAGCTCCTGCTTCACCCCACCTCCTACAAGGGCTTTGGATCCCCCGGCTCCATGGTGGTGGAGTGGAACAGCGCTGGATGTGCCCCTGCTTCCCCATCCCAGGGAAAAATCCCTGCGGAAGGGCCAGGCCCCCAACCAGGCAGGGTGGCAGGCTGCCCAGGGCTGGGGGACAGAGCAGATTGTGTGGCAGGGACAGCCGAGGAGAGGACGTGGCTGGCACTGGGCAGCCCCAGGCACAGCCCCAGTCCCAGATTGTGACCATCGGCTCTGGCCACCCCACACCCGGGGCTGGACCCTGAGGGACACAGCCAGGGGCACCCCACGGCCACGGCACTGTCACTGTCATCCCGATGTTTGTCATACACAGGCTCTGGCACCCTCCCAGCACCCCAAACCCACCCTCCCAGCACCCCAAACACACTCACTCTGGGTGTGGCACACATCTTGCCCACACAATGTTTCCCCACAACCACAGGGACATGTGCTGTCCCTGTCCACCACGGGAGGGGACAAAAAGCCCTTCAGACAAACCCAAATCCATACCCAGGCACTGAGACAAAGCAGGGTTGGGGTCCCCAGTCTGTACCCCCTGACACTGGTGCTGGACAGGGTCCACTTGTGATTCATCCCCAGTGATTAAAGTCTTCCTTTAATTTCAGCTGGAGGTTTCATAGATCAGGCTTGGCCTGGGGGGCGAACCCCATCCAGGGAGCAATGGACTGAGAGGTGCTTCTGGACCTCTGGTGTGCTGAGCTCCAGCTCTGCCAGCCCCAACTCCATCCCGGTTCTGCCCATTCTTACCCTGTTCCTGCCCTTTCCTGCCCATTCCTGCCCTGTTCCTGCCCATTCCTGTCCTGTTCCTGCCCTGTTCCTGCCCTTTCCTGCCCTGTTCCTGCCCTGTTCCTGCCCATTCCTGCCCATTCCTGCCCTTTCGTGCGCATTCTTGCCCTGTTCCTGCCCTGTTCCTGCCCATTCCTGCCCATTCCTGCCCTGTTCCTGCCCATTCCTGCCCATTCCTGCCCTGTTCCTGCCCTTTCCTGCCCATTCCTGCCCTGTTCCTGCCCTTTCCTGCCCATTCCTGCCCTGTTCCTGCCCATTCCTGCCCTGTTCCTGCCCTTTCCTGCCCTGTTCCTGCCCTGTTCCTGCCCATTCCTGCCCATTCCTGCCCTGTTCCTGCCCATTCCTGCCCATTCCTGCCCATTCCTGCCCATTCCTGCCTGCTCATGCGTTCAGCGGGGCTGATCCCACCATTGTCTGTCCAGCTCCCGACTTGAAATGATGCCACTCTTCCGTGTCCCTAGCCAAGGCCCCTTGTTCCCAGCAGTGCCGGTGGCAGGAGTGGGTCAGGACCCGTGTGGATTTGCCACCTGCTTGTCCACGCAGTTGTGCCACCGTAATCCCGGTGCAAGCACGGCCATGTCATCAGAGCGTGTCCCCCGTTTTGCTGTCATGACCGAGAAGGCTCTTGGGGAGAGGGAGTGGGGCCCTGCAGGTCCCCGTGTGAAGGGGCTCAAGGGACGGACCCCGTCCTGGTCCCCATCCTCTGTCCTCCCCTCTGCCAGCACTGGTGCCCACAGGAGGGGTGAGGGGCGGAAAGGATTTGGCTGCGGGGTGACCACAGGCTGGCCAGGGGAGGGGCATCGATTTTATGCTGATGCTGGGCGGTATTGATCGGGGGGAAGAGACGAATGTGGGTGGGCACAGGGAACCCCGGAGCCCTTCACAGAGCTCCTGCCGCTCCCAGCAGGGTCCACCCTGGGGCCAGAAGCGATGGGGAGGTGGGGAAAGAGGCGCCGCAATCTCATTTTTGCTTAAGAGCTTGAGCCGGGGTTTTGAAGGGAAGAGCAAAGCTCAGAGCTGGGGGCTCTGCTCTGGCCCCTTCCCCTCCCGGCTGGTTGGTCCCTGCAGCACCTGCAGAGGGGACAGAGAGCGGCTCAGCGCCACTGCCCTGCCCCGCCCCGCACCCGAAGCTGAATCCAGCGTCACCAGGTGTCCCCGATGCTCCGCAGGACCCTCATCCCCGTGGTGCGGAGCCCCGCTCCTGCCCGCACACCCCGCCCGGCCGGGGGGCTCCGGAGCCAGCGAGCCCCCGGTGCGGGGCACAGGCGTGAGGAGCTGCGGATGGCCGGAGCCTGGCACGAGGCAGCCGCAGCATCGCCCCCTCCCCGGGGCCCCGAGCCCCCAGATGCTGCTGGAGGCCCCCGTGACCGGGAAGGAGCCGTCCCCACCCGCGGCAGGGCGGGGGTTTGTCCCTGTGCCCCCTGGCTCAGCTCCCCAGGGGCTGGCAGAACCCGCAGAGCTCCTGGGTCGTGGATCGGAGCCACGTCTCCGCGGCAGCACTGGCCAGACAACAGTGGAAAATGGCCAAAAATGTGGGTTTAGACTTGACCAGGCTTGAGCCTGCTGGTCCGGGCCTGCAGGCACTGTCCCCCCAGAGGGGAAACTGAGGCACGGATGGATTTATCTGCAATCGCCCAGCAGCTCAGCACCAGTCACTGTGAGGGGACACCTTTTTCCGTGGAAAAACAACAGACAATTAGCGAGAGCTGTGCACTGACAACAGCAGCATCTGTGACAGCAATGGGGGAGCAGCAGGATTTGGGGACGGCGGTTTGCTGGGTGTGGGAATGGTCGGGTGACAGAGCAAACACCGGCAATGGGGAGGGGGCACAGCGGGAGCCTTGCTCTGCTGCCCATGGGGCTGCTCAGAAATGGTTTTATTGGGAGAAACCGGGAATGGTTTTGCTGCTGCTCCAGGGCAGCCGGCTGCTGGAATTGGGGGATGAATTGGGCTCTCCCGCCGCAGTTTCCTTTATGGAGGCAAAACCTGGCTGGGCCCAATTCTCCACAGACGTTGGAGGGACAGAACATCTCCCCACCCCCCCAAAACCCCATCAGGGTCTCTGGACTGCGCTCCCCACAACAGCAACTCCTATATCCCAGTAAAGCATCAAACACCTTCCTCTGCCTCCTCGCCTCTACCCCCGTGCCCCCAGATCTCCCCCCAGCACCCCGCAGCCTCCTAACCCCTTGCTCCCACCCCGGGGACCCGGTGGCTTTCAGGGTGACAGCTGCCACCACCCCCCCAGTCCAGCCAGCCACAGCGTTCCGGAGGAGAAGCCACGCAGCCCACCCTGCTCCCGGTCACCGGGGGCTTCACGGGGGTGGGGAGGGGGCGGCTTGCGGGGACACGCACTGAGCCAGGGACAGCGGCGGCAAAGCAGCCACTAGATGGTAGCGTAAGTCCACGCCAACGCTGCTGACACAGCACTTGGCTGGGACAGGGTGCCCGGGTGACCCGGGTGGCCCCGGGGACCCGCCTCCGCCACCCACCCCCCCAGCGAAAAAGAAATCCTGGCAGGGCTGAGCACTGGCGGAGCTGTGACAAGAGTGGCACGGGCACAGCTCGCCCGCCCCGATGCCCACTGCCATGGCTGGAGCCGCACGAGCCCGCGGTGACAAGTGGGGGACCCCGCTCCCAAACCCACCGCGTCCACCTCTACCCCAAACTCACCAAACACAACCCCCAAACCAGCACAGGGCACGAACCTGACTTGAGAGGGAACCGACCCAGGCCTGGGGACGAGCAGGATGACCCGCAAGGCACCCGGTTCAGTGTGGGGGTGCTGGGCACCCACGGGAGCCTGGCAGGGCTGGGGGGCGTCCATCCCCCTGCAAAGTGCCTCATTCAACTCCCCATCCTCCTCCAGCCCTGCCTGGGGCTCCACGCCAGACTGATATATATATTTTATGATAACTATAGAGATGCACTTCAAACCTGACAAAGGACTTTGACAGTTTTAAGCATCTCTTTGATTAATACATGACCTTTTAATGCTTTGGATTAAATTAATAAATCTTTTACATTCTAACCCATTCTGCTTGCAATGTCATGTTTTTTGCATGACCTCTTCCTCTTCCCTGCCCTGTCCCTCTGTCCCTCTCTCCATCCCTGCACAGGTACAGTAATCCACAGCCTTGCAATATTCATGGGGCACAGAGCCCTGCAAAGCGAGAAGGGAGGGGTACTCCTCAGTGTCTTTTTTGTTTTGGTTTTTCTTTTTGTTTTGTTTTTTTATGAACCATCCCTAAAAATAGCAAAAAAATTCAAAGCTGACATTCAGGGCAAGGGGATGAGGAAGCCTGCAAAGTTGCTCACTCAGCCACCAGCAATTGCAGTGATCCTGTCTG